CATAAAATACTTTCAAAACATACACCAGACAAGGGGTTAGTATCTAGAACATACAAGTCAGTCCAAATCTTCAAGAACAAACCCCAAAAACCCATTAAAAAATGGGGAATAAATCTACATTTTTTTTTCAAAAAGACATATAAATGGATAACAAGCACATGAAAAATGACCAACATTACTAGTTATCAGAGGCACGCGCATTAAAGCCACAAAAATCATCATTCTCAGTAAGAATGGTTATCACTAGAAAGACCAAGGGCAATAATGATGTGGAGAACGGCAACTGCTGGGAATATAAATTAGAATAGTCACTATGGAAAACAGTATGGAAGTCCTCCAAACGTTAACCATATTGATACCATATGAGCCAGTAACCCCATTCCTGGGAATACAACCAAAGCATGAAATCAGTCTGCCACAGAGACTTTCACACTCCTGTGTTTACTGCTGCATTAGCCACCAGAACCAAAAAATGGAAATTATCTAAGGTGTCTATCAGTTGATGATGAATAAAAATGTGGCACAGACAATGGAATACTATTGAGCCATTCAAAAGAATGAAACCCTGTCATTAGGAGCAACATGAACGAAACAGGACCATTATATTAGGTAAAATAAGCTGGGTACAGAAAGACAAGTACTGCACGATCACACTCAAATGTGCAATCTGAGAAAGTTCATTTCCTATAACTTGAGAGGACAATGTTGGTTAGCAGAGGCAGGGAGAGTGGGGGTTGGGTGGGGGGATGGGGCCAGGTTGAACAGTAAGTTACATTAGAAACAAGGATTTAGGATGCGCTATTGTACTGAGAGTAGAGGTAACAATAATGCACTGTGAATTTTAAAAAGGATAAGAAAGGATTCTGAAAAATTCTGCCATAAAGAAACAAATAAATGCTGGACCTGAATTACAATATTATGTGATATATACATGTATTGAAACATTTTATAGTATCCCATTAAATATACAAATTTTTATGGCTGGTGGTTTGTTTTATTAAGTTTTTTTTTTTTTTTTTTTTTCTTGGTACTGGAGATTAAGCCCAGGGCTTTGCACTAGCTGAGTGAGCTATCACTGAAATATGTTCCTTGGGCTTTTTATTCTTTTAAGACAAGGTCTAGCTAAGTTGCCTAGGCTGGCCCTGAATTTATGACATTGCTGCCTCAGTTGCTGGGAGTACAGGTGTGCAACACTGTGCCCAGAAACTTTCTTTTCTTCATTTAAAAAATATTTTTTTTAAAATATCTTTATTTGGCACAAGGTCTCACTACACAGCTTGGACTTGTAGTGATTCTCCGATCACAGCCTCCCCAGCATTGGGATTACAGGCATGCACCACCACACCCAGTGGCACGGTGTACCCAGGGTTCCCTTGGGGCTAGCATGGCATGCAGTAACTGGGGATTGAACCCAGGTCCTCACGTATGCCAGGCAGGTGCTTAGACACCAAGCTATCTCTCCAGCCCCAAACTTTTGCTTTATGTGTCAGTTACATTTTTTTTTAAGACTGGAGATATAGTTCATCAGTTGAGCGCAAGGCCCTAGGTTTTATCCCCAGGACTACCAAAAATAAGATAAAAATTCTGTAATTTTTTTTTTTTTTTTTTTGTTGAACCAGGGATTGAACTCAGGCCCTTGCACTTGACAGGGAAGTGCTTATTCTACTGAGCCATCTCCCCAGCCCCTAAATTTTTTAACTTAAAAGAAATAAAGAGGTTAAATAAAAAAATTTAGATAAAATATGAAATAAAATGTAAATAACCATAGACAAAGATAAATTTTTAAACACAGGCAAGTACATAGGAAATGCTAAAATTATTTTTAAAAATGTTTTATGTCAATACATTTTAAATAGACAAACTGAAATTTTCCCTTCTTAAAAAAAAGTAGCTAAATGAACCTGTTAAAGTTTCAATGAAACTTTAAGTAACACTTTCTGTTTTATACAAGTTATTCTAAAAAATAGAAAAGAACAAAAGCTACATAGCTCACTTTCTAAAGCTTACATAATCTTATTTTAACACTACCTAAGAATAAAATGGGAAGAGAACAGTCTTACTTTATTAACAAATACAGATGCAAAAATTCTACATATTATTTTGGCTAAACAAATCCAGTAGTGCATTAAAAAAAATCATAATTGAGTACCCAAGAAGACTCAACATCTGAAAAATCTAACCAGAAATTTCAGTATGAATAGGCAAAACCAAGATAGAAAAAAAAGGACTCAAAATAAGAAATTCCACCTTCACTGGCACTAAAGGGGCACATGGTAAGTCAAGATTATTTATTTTTATGTATGTGGTACAGGGTCTTACTACACAGCTCGGACTCATAGTGATCCTCCTGTTTTCAGCCTCCCCAGTGCTGGGATTACAGGAGAGTGCCACCACACCCAGTCTCGCTTGGTGGCCGACTCAGCATGCCTGGGGGTGAGGCCAGCATGACATATGGTG